ACAAGTGGACGCAGCTTCCACTCTTCCTTTCTGTCCCCAGGGAGGAGCGGGAATTGGGGGGTTTCCTCCGCGGGCGCTCCATGCCGCGGGGGGAGGGGCAAGGCGAGCCAAATGCCACCAACTTGCCCAGCGCCCCGGCTGGGGCTGCAGCTCCTTACCTGCTTTCTAGGGCTCTCTCCCAGCGTTTGCCCCGCATCACATGGGGGAACCAGGGCCGCTGCTCAGTCCTTCGGGGACCAGGGCCTGATGCTTCCTGGTCCGCAATTGTGCTGACGTCACCCCTGGACTCTAAGTCTCAGGTCACAGAGGCCAGAGGGCACTTCCCTGTGTGGGTGGACACCAGTGAAACGCGTGGTCCCTGGGGGGGCTCACCCCTCTATCCCAGCGGCTTCACCAGAGCAGAAGCCAGCCAGGGCGGGATGAGTGTGTCTCTAAAATAAGAAATCTCACCAACTTACATGTGGAGCAGTAGCTCAGAGCATGTGTTTTGAGATGGACCTGAATGCTGCTCTGTGACTTTGACCTCCTGACCTGACCCCTGAGACTCAGTCTCCTTCATGCCTTGGGGACCCTAAAGCCACCTGCCTTACAGGGTTGTGGGGAGGACACGTGGAGTGAGCAGCAGAGCCTGGCACGTGAGTGCCTGATCAATGGAAGCTGCAATTGCACAATGATGGCAAAGGCCATCAGCCTCACGATTGTACTGTGTGCTCATTGTACTCACGAGGTTTCCTCAAGGCCCAACCCCCCCCCCGTCCTGGACAACAGGCCCCCAGTTTTGGGGACTCTGCCAGAATTACAGGCACTTCTGTCCCTGCCCTTCATATCCTCATTAGAGTGACTGCTTGGGAGGGCGTGACACATCCAAAACAAAGGGTGGATAAAGACAGTCTATCCAGGGCCACTGTGTGACCAACACTCTGACCATCCTGCCCTCCCGCTGACACCACCTGATTCTCTGACAGTCCTGGGTAGAGAGTTGCTGCCCACAGGACAGGACATTCAACTGAGGGCAATGAGAGGCCACAGGCTGGATCCGGGAAGTTCCCAGGGTGCCCGTGGGTCTTGTTCTCCTGGTCTGTTGAGTTGCTTCAAAGCTAGTGTTCCTGCTGCCGGGAGATCCAGGGACCTCAGTTCCCCACAGTCCAGTCCTCGGCCAGATTTACAAAGCCTGAATCTTGAGCTGCTGCTCTCCTGCTTCCCCTCACCACCCTGTATGGTACTTTGCAGTGGCACTTTGGTCTTGCCGCCAGGTCACCTTGGCTTGCAGTGCCAAGCCAGGCAACATCCTCCAGGAAGTCTTCCCAGAAAGTCCTTCTCCAGCTTGATGCAGTGTCCCCATGACCCTCAAAGCAATCCCTGCACTGCTGGCCCAGCCTGTCAGCTCTCAGCCTTCTCACTCCTCCTCTTGGTCATGAGCACCTTGGAGCAGGGGCCCACCATCGTCTTCCCGCCAGGCTGTGAGTGCCCAGCCCAGCACCCAGCACATGGTCTGTCCCGGGGGGGTGGAACAGAATCCAAGGCCTGAGCAAGAAAGGTGCAGGGAAGGCCAAGTAAACTGAGGAAAGCCAGCTGGGCCCCAGCAAGCTATACCCTCTGGCCCCAGGCCTGGCGGGAGAGTGGGGATGTGGGAATTCAAAGGGGAGGAGCAGCTTTCACAAGCCAAGCAGGAACTGCAAATATTGAAAGCCAATACCACCAAGAGGCCACAGTCCCAGGGAGCCATCTCTGGGTGGCCATCTCTGAGTGGGGGATGTCCAGAGGTACGTTGGGAGAAGCTGATCCTCTTACTGTTGGGGAGTGAGGGAGAGAGAGAACTGGGGGTACACGGGGGTGTGGAGTGCCTCCTTCAGGACCTGCTTCAGCTGGGGGAGAGAATACTCCAGCTGTTTCCAGAATGAGAGCTTGCCTCACACACCCCTGGGATGGGTGAGGGGGCATGACCTCTACCCAAGAAATGCCCCTTCCCCACCCTCTGGGCTCCTTTCCCTTCCCATTTGAGTGGGTTTTGGCTTCAGAGTCCCCATCAACTTCACTGATTTAAACACAGCCTCAAATCCCACCCCTTTTCTTGTTGAAAAAGGAGGGTGCTGAGGCTGGCGGGCAGCAGCCCTGCCCTGGCATGGTGTGGTCACCACTGTGCTTGGAGGCAGTGAGAGGCTGAGACACACGGAGGGCCTGGGAGCTACATCTAGCTGGGAGGCGGCACACACTGGCACGGGGTGATGCTGAGATTTGCATCTTTCCTTGAGGGACCAGAGAGTCAGGAGTGGAAGGGATGGGGCTGGAGCAGGAGGACCTGGCCCAGGGAGAGGGAGGAGGCCAGCAAAGGAGGAGGCCCGAGAATCCACTCCTGTGGTCCTCAGCAGGCCTGTGAGGGTGTAACGAAAATACGTTGTCCCCACTTGGTTTCCATGCCCTTGTCTTCTAGAAAGAGTTTGAGCAGCTGATGTTCAAGGACAAATGACAATGAGGAGGAGGAAGCAGGCCCTCTCCTCTGGGGACAGAGTCACATCCTACGCTAAGCCACCCTAGTCCCCTGAGCTTCCTGGCAACTCAGTCAACAAAGGCGAGTGCCCACCCCACATTTCTCTGAGTCAGGAAAGTGGACACAGGCCCGAGGAGATTCATCACCTGGGCGGCCTCAAGAGCTAGGAGTTCCAAGGACCAGTTTGTAACCAACTTAGGAAGGGTCTCATCGCCATGGAACTGGCTGTTGCGTGACTAGGCAGCTCGGAGAACAACCCAGCTGCCTCCCCATCTGAGTACTGAGTACTAGTGTGAAGTGAGGGACACAGAGAACTTCATCCCTCCTCCCACTCCCCCCGCTTCGTCCCTCTGATCCTTGTGACCTCCCTACAGCAAGTGCCAGTACAAACCTGGGAGGTGAAGGTCACTCAGAAGGAGGCAGGTGAGACATGGGAAGGCAAGAATGTGTTCTGGGGACGAGGCTGTGACCACATTAGGGAGTGTGAGCATGATATGACAGGTGGGGCAGGATCAAGTCTAAAGACCCCTGGTTCTTCCTCAGATGCTGTACAATGCTAGGTAGTCAGACTGGGAGTGGGGACATATCGTCTCTCCCCCCCACCCCCACCCCGGCTAAGTACCTGGAGAGGGCAGCAGGGACAGGACTTCTGTGGCTTTCCCTGCACTGACCTTCCCCGGCCCCTCCCTGCACCCTCTGGCAGCTCAGTCATGCCAAGAAGTTGGCTCAGGGCAGAAGGCAAAGACCAGTCTCAGCTCCCTTCATAAAGAGGATGCAGCCTGGTCGAGCCCTCAGGGTTGGTGAGAGTGCCCTGCCTGGCCTGGTCCTAGCTCCTGGTGTGGTGAGTGTGCCAATGTGTCCAGAGGAGCCCAGTGTGCACCGAGGGAGCCACAGGGCCGCTGACCAGGGAGACACTGGGGCCCCTGGCTGTGGCCATGGCCATCTTCCTGCTCCTGGTGGACCTGATGCACCGACGCCAATGCTGGGCCCCGTGCTACCCACCAGGCCCCATGCCCCTGCCTGGGCTGGGCAACCTGCTGCAGGTGGACTTCCAGGACTTGCTTTCTTGCTTTACTCAGGTCAGGAAGGTGGGGGTGGGCACAGAGGTCCTGGGGACCCCACCAAGCAGCAGACCGTGGGTGGTGGGTGAAGCCACAGGCTGGACAGGGAGCTGGGTGGAAAGGAGGCGGCAGGTTTGAGAGGCCTCCTGGGGGAGGGCATCTGTGCAGGGCCTGAGGAGGGCATCTGTGCAGGGCCTGAATTTTCCAATCAGACGTCACAGAGGGCAAAGGCCTGGAGGCGGGTGGGACTTGGCAGCGGGTTTGGGATCCAGTGGGACAGAGCTTAAGTTATGTGAGCCTGAGTCCCGTCTGAGGACATCAGGAGGAAAGGTCTTGAGATTGTGGGAGAGGAGTCTGGTTGTGAGCCCCATTTACATCAGGAAATTGAGGTTGAGAGGGGACAGTGACCAGGTTCAAATCTTTTGCTGCTGTGAGACCTTGGGCCTCACTGCTCACCTCTGTGACCCTCAGTTTCTTCACCTGTAAAATGGGATGCTCACTTGGCCTTCTAACAATTTTGGCGACCTCTGCAAGGTCATAGCTGGGTTGTCTGATACAATGTGATATCCATGACCACAGTGGGTGTGATCCTCAGCATCACGAGTCCAGATAAAGTCCTGCATCAGACTTGGTGAGGTCCAGGGGTCCCCCAAGGCTAGTGCCTGACTTGAGGCCCATGGTCGTGCTCAAGGGCTGGCGGCCGTGCTCAGGCACTGGTGTACTGCGATGAGGATTTGCCCACTGCTCTTTGGTTCTCATACTTGGGTTTGAGTGGCGCCCATGGCAATTGGAGGAGGGACAGACTGCGTCCTGGTGGGGACTGGACCTCCAGTAACTGGAGTCAAGACAGGGTCTAACCTACATGGGTCTCAAATGTGGGGCAGAGAGAATGGCTAGCAAATGGTGGGCCCAGGGCATGGAGGAAGGAGCCTGTATCAGGGCTGGGGAAGGATGAGTGTGGGCCTCTCAGAGGACCTGGCCTGTAGTGAATGGGGGCAGGACTGTGTGAGCAACGACTGGGGGTGGGGCCTGGACAGAACGCTGTTGGAAGGGCCATCAAAGTGCGTGAGATTGGAAGCCAGGGAGGACAAGGTTTGCAAGGGGTGGGGGGGGGCTGGCACAGGGTGGGCCTGACCCAAAGAGGTGGGACTGTCTGAGCAAGTGTAGAGGGCGGGCATGTCAAAGGGGGCGGGACTGTGAGAGCAGGGCAGGGCGCCGGGCCGGGACCCACTTTCATACATCATCATCACCCAGAGTCCACAGTTTACATCAGGGTTCACTCTTGGTCTTGCACATTCTGTGAGTTTGGACAAATGTACACTGACATATATCCACCATGATAGGATCATACAGAGAAGTTTCACTGGCCTAAAAATCCTCTCTATCCGCCTCTTCCCTGACCCCTGGCTACTGGCAAACACTGATCTTTTTTCTGTCTCTATAGTTTTGCTTTTTCCCGAATGTCATTTAGGTGGAATCATACAGCATGTAGCCTTTTCAGATTGCCTTCTTTCGCTTGGTAATAGGCATTTAAGGTTCATCCATGCCTTTTCATGGCTGGATAGTGCATTTTTTTTTTTGGAGTGCTGAAGAATATTCCATTGTCAGGATGTACCACAGTTTATCCATTCACCTGCTGAAAGCCATCTTGGTTACTTTCCAGGTTTGGCAATTATGAACAAAGCGGCTGTGAACATCCCTGTGCAGGTTTTCTGTGGACATAAGTTCTCAACTCCTTTGGGTCAATATCAAGGAGTGTGATTGCTGGATCATCCGGTGAGAATGTTTAATTTTGTAAGGAACCGCCAAACTGCCTTCCACAGTGTCTGTGCCACTGTGCATTCTCACCAGCAATGTATGAGACCTGCTGTTGCTCCACGTCCTTGCAGCATTCTGTGTTCTCAGTGTTCCGGATTTGACCACTCTAATAGGTGTGTAGGGGAGATGTATTTTTACAAAATAATTTTTAAATCATGGTAAAAAAACACAACAAAATTTGCCATGTCAACCAGTAAGTGTACAGGTCAGTAGTGTCAAGTATATTTGAGACAGGAACCAGCCTAATGAGACAGGGCCATCTGCAAGGCCCCTGGCCTAACAAGATAAGGCCCCTAACCAATCGGCAAGCTAGGAGAATCAGATAGAGACCACCAAGACCCACATTCCGCAGTTTCGGGACTCTCCTGGGTTTATGCATACATCCTAGCACCCAGGAGTTGTCTGAAGGTGACCCTAGCACAATTAGCATGTTAAACATCACACCTGGGGTGGAGAGCTAGCATGCTAATGATACATGCAACGCATTGTGGTGGTGGCATGTTGAACAACAGTGCAAGTGCAAGAAAAACCCCACCTCTACGTGCCATGACAAGGCGCTCCTCCCCAGCCCCTGCCTAATAAAAGCCCCACAATCCCGCTTCCTAGGGAGCCGGTCACCCGCCCCTTTCCCTTCTGCCGGCTCCCTTGTGCCTCTCCTGTGCACAAGCTTATAAACTTTTACTTTTCTACTCTTGTTTGTTGTCTCTCTTGATTTCCATCCTGGGGGACAACAAGAACCCTCTGCGCCGGTAACATAGTCACATCGTCGTGCAACGGGTCTCCAGAGCTTTTTCATCTGGACAAGCTGAAGCCCTGTACCCATAAACCAACTCAGAGAGGCGGGTCTTGCCCGGCTCCCCTTCTCCTTTTAGCTCCTTGGCCGCGGCCTCCTGCGCCCCCCGGCGCCCGCCTGCGGAACTGCAGACGCGGCCGCCCTGCCGGGGCCTCCACCTGGATCCCAGCGCTGCGCTGGGCGGGTCGGCACTGCGAGTCAGGTGAGGCGGCCAGGCCCGCGGCCCCACGAGCTGCACGCAGCTTCCACTCTTCCTTTCTGTCTCCAGGGAGGAGCAGGAATTGGGGGGTTTCCTCCGCGGGCGCTCCCTGCCGCGGGGGGAGGGGCAAGGCGAGCCAAATGCCACCACCTTGCCCAGCGCCCCGGCCGGAGATGCGGCTCCCTACCTGCTTTCTAGGCCTCTCTCCCCGCGCTCGCTCCGCAACCAGTAGGGGGCCCAGGGCGAGGAGCTCCCTGCTCCGCCATCGTGGTGGCGTCACTCTTGGACTCTAAGTCTAAGGTCACAGTGTCCAGAGGACAGTTCTCTGAGCGGTTGAACACCTGTGACACGCGTGGTCCCTGGGGGCGCTCCCCCTCTACCCCGGAAGCCCAGCAGAAGCCTAGCGAGAGCGGGCTGAGTGTGTTTCTAAAATAAGAAATCTAAGTAACTTACATGTGGCGCAGTAGCTCAGAGCCTGCCTTTTTTAAAAAAAGTATAATTCAATTAAAATTATTTTATTGAGATCATATGGCTTATAACTTTGTTTATATTTCCGGGTATACATTATTATATTTCAGTTTCTGTATAGACTGCACGGTGTTCACCGCCAACAGTCTAGTTTATATCCCTCACCATCCACATGTGCCCTTTCACCCCTTTTGCCCTCCCCTTCTCCTCTTTCCCTCTGATAACCACCAATCTGTTCTCCTTATCTATGTGTTTATCTTCCACATAGTGAAATCATGTGGTATTTGTCTTCCTCTGTCTCACATATTTCACTTAGCACAATACCCTCAAAGTCCATCCATATTGTCGCAAATGGCACGATTTTGTCTTTTTTTTTTAAGGCTTGGTAGTATTCCATTATATACGTATACAATATCTTATTTATTGGTTGACGGGCACTTGGGTTGCTTCCACATCTTGGCTATAGTGAATAATGCTGCAATGAACTTAGGGGTGCATAGATCTTTTTGAATTATTGATTTCATGTTCTTTGGATAAATACCCAGTAGTTCAATAGCTGGATTATATGGAATTTCTATTTTTAATTTTTTGAGAAATCTCCATTCTGTTTTCCATAGTGGCTGCACCAGTTTGCGTTCCCACCAGCAATGTATGAGAGCTCCCTTTTCTCCGCATCTTCTCCAACACTTGTTATTTCTTGTGTTGTTAACTATAGCCATCCTGATGGGTGTGAGGTGATATCTCATTGTAGTTTTGATTTGCATTTCCCTAACAACTAGTGATGTTGAACATCTTTTCATGTGGCTGTTGGCCATCTGTATACCTTCTTTCTTTCTGGATATGAAAGATGTCTATTCATATCCTCTGCCCATTTTTTGATGGGGTTGTTCATTTTTTTTTGTTGAGTTGTATGAGTTCTTTATATATTTTTCAAATTAATTCCTTGTTGGATATATGATTTGCAAATATTTTCTGCCAGTTAGTGCGTTGTGTTTTCATTTTGTTGATGATTTCCTTTGCCTTTGCCGTACAGAGGCTTTTTAGTCTGATGTAGTCCCATTTGTTTATTTTTCCTTTGTTTCCCTTGCCTGAGTAGACATGGTATTCCAAAAGATACTGCTAAGACCGATGTCAAAGAGTGTACTCCTTGTATTTTCTTCCAGGAGTTTTATGGTTTCAGGTCTTTCCTTCATGTCTTTAACCAACTTTGAGTTAATTTTTGTGTATAGTGTAAGATAATGGTCTACTTGCATTCTTTTGCATGTGGCTGTCCAGTTTTCCCAACTGCATTTGTTGAACAGACTTTACTTCCTCCATTGTATGTTCTTGGCTCCTTTGTCGAAGATTAGCTTTCCATAGAAGTGTGGTTTTATTCTGGGAATCTCGATTCTGTTCCA